CAACTTAATAGTTATCGCTATTAATTAATCTTTTCTTATTGTCATTGTCATTGTTTTCGTTACTATTATATTTTAATTGATATTATAACTGCAGGTATTACTATCATTGATATTATTATGCTTTATGCATAAATTTGTTTCATTGCTTTCACATTTTTATGTTTCTAATCTGGATAAATGAATCGTATAATGTCGTTCAAGTACCTCAATTGCTCTACTGAGTTTTTTTCTGTTTGATGGCATGAGACCGATGTTCGGTCGGAAATGTCCCACAAATTTCTTTTGGAATTTCGACATTCGGATCTCGACCGAGCGATTCCAAAAGTCGATGGAATTCCGAATGCTGGATTTTTGAAATGCGAATTCCGCCGGATTCTGACCGACCTACAGTTTCGTCCGGATGCCACTGTTACAGTCCAATGACCAGAAATACATCCCACCAATTGTATTGAATTTTTCAAAGCTTATAATCTCACTTCTACATGAACAGCGTAAAAACCATGACTGTACAAGCAAGACCTGCACAAGCTAACAACCTTAACTGATATAATTTGAGCTAGAAGTGGAGAAGCCCATATGGTATTTCGTGAAAGACCGCTCTCAAGATATCATTCTTTTCAAGGTTTCCTTCAACATCCAATCCTAATCTTTTTTCCTACGGATATGACAAGTTATCTAATCTGGATTTGTTCACCTCCTTGACACTTGAAACTGCAAAAAAATTGAGCAAATTCATAAATATGCGAAGCATTTTATTCATACAACAAATAAGAAACGAAATTTCAATCGAAGACAGAATAAATAAAAATTCGAGCAAATAGCATCCATCATCAATTATATAAATATGTACAACGCAACTACAAAAGTGTATTTTCACCTTTCGAAACAGCCATCACGAAGTCAACCTTAAACCTAATCTTACAAGTATCCTAACTCGGTTTCGCTTTGAAAAATTACGACAATTTCTATCAATGAAAACATATCGTCATTGCATCAAACCATCCATCTGTTGCTATACAATTCAGCCGTACAACAAAAAGTTAAATGTGACAAATTAAAATGTGAACCAAACAAAATGTCGAAATCGATCCCAAAATCGAACGATAAAATTCGTGATCTAACCGAATCCTATATGATCAGTATGAAACGGTTGTAAAAATTTCACCCTTCACCTAACTGTACGGTGATTCAATCGAACACAATGTAATGGATCAATGAAAGTTTCAAAAGAAAACAAAGGAGGAATAACAAAACAAACCTGTAGAGGAATATATGAATTAACAAAAAACTGACCGATGAAAGAAGTAAGTAAAGAACTAAGAAGATCGAATACCGAAACGTTCTACAGCTTAGCGAATCGTAAGAATTCACGCAGTTAGCATTAGAAATCTTCAGCTGTGAGCAAATAAAAAATAATAATGAGCGTAACACCATCAAATAGCTAACCTAAACGTAAACACAACTTAACTTAATCTCATTCTTAAATCAGATTACAATCAGATAACAATAACAAACAATATGTGACAACAAAATGCGTAAATCAAACCAAAATGAAATGAAAAACAATCGTAATACGGATTGCAAAATGCATTACGAACGATTAACGTAAGTGAGAAATTTCCTTTCAGAACATTCTGTTTCTTATAGAATTTTCGATACCGGACAATAACATATGCAAACGAGTTTTTCGTATAGTGAGAGAAATGAGAATTTTCAGTTACTCATTTCAAAAATAATCAGCATTTTTTCAACTCATTCTCCCAATTTTCCATCTACTTTCTAGTAAAGAAGTCAAATCTTTCATTCAATAGCTCCTCAATTTTAGATTTCTCAACAAGATTCTCAATCAAAATCTCTCCTTTCGGAATGTTTCTCCTGCACGAGCCCTTTCCAGAACTGCTATTCATCGCAGAACACTGATCATCTCTCCTGAACACTTCTCACTCTACTTTAAAATATCGCATCCATATCTGTCCTATATCACCATCAAACACTCATTAAAGGGACGACAGTCAAAACTTTAGACTCACCAAAATATATTTTCACAAAATGAACATTCATCCTTCAAAACCGAACAAAACAAATAACAAAAGAGATATGGCTATCGAAACTGGATCCGATAGGAGCAAAATGACAGAATTAAGTTCAAAAGTTAAATTCGACATGAAAGTGTCACTTCACATTAAAATTCAACAACACGTATATCCAAAAACATAAAATCACAAACGAATGATATAAATCCAATTTTTAGGATTCTCTTCAAGTACTCTAAATATATCATTCAAAATAACCAACAAAATTGATTCCACTCCATCAATTCCGTGAATCGTCAATTGTTTATACTTTTCCATTCATCTCAATGGTGTCAGCAAGAAACAAATCACGCATCTCACGTAAACTCTTCACCAAATCATCACGAAATCCAGCCGAACTCTAAAATGAAGAAAAAAATTGATCACTTAATATTGATCACTTTGTAACTGATCACTTATCTCCTCATATATCGAGTTATGATCGATATACAATTGAGAATATGGGATGCGAGACGATGAATTTTTCAATAATTATTCAGTTCTACCACAACTGCAAATCTTTCACGTTTTCACTTCTAGTAGTTTGGGTGATCAGCCAAGATCACCAATCAAAAAATGATTACGATCTCCTTATATTACGATGAACAAACGACAAAGCGATAAGGACAGTATTATTAGCAGTATTCATATCAACGAAAGCAATTTCAATAAAAAAAGTGAAAAGGCCGTCATCAGAATCAATAACAATTCCAAAACAAACCGTATTTTCCGCTGATCTCTTCGACGAAATGTGGAAAGATATTTGATTTTCACCAGCAATATTGTACGATATTCCGTAGCCATTATCGGCGACCGGTCCGAAACCACCTCCCGCACTGACGAATGTCGCCTTTTGATAGGGCGTCATAAGTTTTGACTCCTCACAGCACTGATACAACGGTGTTTGACTGGTCGAGAGTGTGTATGTGGGCGGGAAGACCTTATCTAGGAACGGCGACTCCTCTTCCAAATAACGCTTCACAACGTATCTGTAAACAATTCAAAGAAAAATAAATCCAGTTTTAATAACGAACAAATGATTCTGACTTGAGACGTGAGTATAATAAAGATGAAACTAGATGAACAATAAAGCAACTGAATAGAATACGTAATGAACCATGAAACTATCATAGTTTTATAGTTCCGTTTCAAATAACTCAGAATCACTCAGTCCATTTTGTAAAAACAGATAGAACATCCATTGCAGTCAAACCCTTAGATTGTCGTAATCTTGAGAAACTTCAGAAGAACTATTCTTCTGCCTTCTATGGTTTCACATACTAAACAAAATCATGCCGGAACAATTCTAAAAGCTATGCGTTTTACAGTGTTGTCTACATCAAACTTGGACGTATCGTTAGAAGGTAGGCTCGGGATCAGTTTTAGGTATAGAAACAGGTGAACTATCCACAAAAATGTACACCTTTTGGGATTGTTCCTTGATCAATCAAATATACATGGAAGCAGCTGACCACCTCTAGTTCTACTGTATATTTCACTGATCAAGTAAGAGTACTTCTACTGTGTATCACTAGCGATTACTACTATTACTACTGTATATTACTATTATCAAGGAACAATACTTCTACTGCATATTACTAGCGAAATATTACAGTAGCGGAATAACGCGCATTTGCCCACCTCTGAGTAAAAATAACAAGAAACAAATTGCAATTCCATCAGCTAACCAAAAAAAAGAACAAGCAAGTCAACTTACAAAGCGAACAAGTGCCTGTCGATACCTTTTCCGCACATTGCCGAACGATACAATTCCTGATGTCGCACACAAGCAGTGTGCAATAAACGCAATCGCTCCTCACGCTTAAATCATAATCATTCAAGTAAATTCTAAAACATTCTTCAGTAAATATTCAAAAATCCAAATATTCACAAATATCCAAAGTAATTCTTAAAATTAAAAACAAAACAATCACAACAATAAATCCAATCGAAACCCACCGTTTTTTCAGGATCAAGCATCGCGCATACAAATTCACAACTCTGTTTTGTGCACGATCGCACGGTCTCGGTTCGACCCTCACGATACAGTCGAGTCATTGCCGCCTCGTATGTTAACGCAAATTTATGTTGATTCTAAAAACATTTCATTTAGTTTATTAATCACTTTTAACCCCGTTCAGAATAAAAATTTTCACTCGTATTGAATTGAAAATATTCTGAAAGTTTGAGAATTCATTGCTTGATTTGACCAAAAAATTCGCTAAAAACATCTTTGATTATTGTCTAATACATTTTTTATGCACAAACGAATATATAAACCATCAGTAATAGTATCAATGGCTGGCTCTAACTTTAACATAAAAATCAAAAATAAAATTAACTTTAACATAAAAGATATCAGTAGAAATCACTCACAACAACTTATACGATAAAATGAACAAACCCTAAAATATGTCAGCTGAAGACACATTTGCAGAAACCCGTCGGGTGATACTTTCAACTTCTTGATTAAACCTTTACCAAATTCAGTCCACACCAACAGCGCCATTTCTACGTCTTCGATTAACGTTGT